TACCAAATGCCTCCGGTGGTTTGGGGGAATCTGGGTCCTCTGCGTAAACCTTTGCTACTTGTTTGGCTCCATATACAGTATAAACAACTGCCTTGCACAAAGAAAAAGGAGAAGCAAGAGAGAGGAAAGAGGGTATGTAGCTGGGAAGTCTTAGTATTGTAGGTATAGAATATATTTACAAAAAAAAAAAAAAAAAAAGACAACCCCCCTACCTGCTGCCAAGTGAAACATCAGAATTTCTATGGTCTGATAATTTGTAGAAACTGCAAAGAAGAAAGGATTTCCCATATTTTCACCTGTGACGCAGATCTCAACTCCAATTTTATAAAGTACTGATGTTTTAAAATGAGTCAGCATGTACTCCATTCCCTCAGGCTGCCCATTCACACAGTATTTTGCACAAAACTGGGAGCAGAAGCTGGGAGAACAGGAAGAGTTGGCTGGGCATTGGAGCCGCAGAGGCAGCGGCAGGCGGGGGATCGGGGCCGGGGCGCTCACTGGAGGGAAAGGCCGATGTGTGAAGAGGCGGTGAGCAGCGAGGGAACGCTGCCATCGCCTGTACCGCTCCTCTTACTTGCTTGGGTGTGCAGCCGCTCTGCGGCTCAACCAGAGTTTCCTTTTTTAAAAGCTAATCCACGCGTTTTATATGTGGAAATACGGTAATCCTCTTGATTTTGTTTATTTATTCTGTCGCAAAAATCGGTCTAGGTCATGACAGACGCTCTGAGTAGTGAGGCAAGCTTTTGACATTAGCCGAACTAGACGCAAATCGGTCCTTAAAATAAAGGAGGCCCAAAGAACCACAGGGCAGCGTGCTCTGCCTGGCAGCTGGTCCTCTGGGTGTCTACTTGCTATGCATGGTCTAGCTGGTTTTCACCAACATATTGCCAGCAAAGAATGGTAGGTCGATAAAGAATATGAAAATAAATTATGTCAAGTACCTGAAACAAACTGCTAATGAAGAACGTGGGCTTTGCTTTCGGTAGCCATTGTGTGGGAGATACACTGAGGAAAAATGTTATTTAGCGCACACAACCCATGGGAAGAAAAGCAGGATTCTTTGAATACACTTTTCATGAGTATGTTATGCACTCATCTCATGTGTTGCTGTGTTTATGAATTCCATAGCAAAGTTCCTGCAGTGTTATAAATAATAAAATAATCTTCAGAAACTACTTTACCTGGTTTTGTAGACAATACCCCTTAGCAAATACTGGGGGTATGTAGAATTCTCATCCTATCAAAATGCAAATTGCAGACTGATGTTACACATTGAGTTGTGTCACACCTTTTAAATGTAACAAAGACTATCAGTGGAAGGCAA